CCTCTCGGGCCCTACTCCCCACACTGTTCCTGACACAGGCCAGGATGCTGGTGGCTTCCTTGGCCACCTGGGCACACTGCTGGCTCCTGTTCAGCCGACTGTTGACCAACACAGTCGATCACGGGGGGAACACACAAACACACGCCAGCACGTGGGTGCAAGCACCGTGTTCGGCACCCAGGCGCCTTCACATGGAGCTCCCATGTCTGGGTTGTCCCCAGGGATGTCCCCATGTCCCCCCTGGCCCCATGCTCACCTGAGTGAGAGCGAGTAGTCGTCAGGGCTGGTCTCGCAGTCCCGCACCAGGAAGCTGCCCTCACGGCACAGCGCCAGCAGTGTCTCGGCGCCCGCCCGCCCGATGGGGCCGTGGTACCACCTACGTGGTGACATGTGTCACCCCAGAACGTTGGTACCCCACCACACTGGGCACTGGGCCCTCAGGACCCAACTGCAGTGTGGGGCACCCTCTGTGCCATGGGATACCATCCCCACCACTTGGACCCATCAGCAACATGGGGCACCCTTGGTGGCACAAGGACCCATCCACCCCACAGGGACCTCTCTGTGCCGTGGGGCATCTTCTACATCATGGAGGCCAACTATAGCATGGGGCATCCACCCATGCCGAAGGGACCATCTATACCAAAAGGACCTTCTGGGCCATTGGGACCCATTCCTGCCATGGGGCACCCAACCACATCAAAGGGACCCATCCGTGCCATTGGGCACCCTCCACCCCATCAGGACCCTCTATGCCATGGGGCACCCAACCACATCAAAGGGACCCATCCATGTCATTGGGCACCATCCATGTCATTGGGCACCATCCACCCCATCAGAACCCTCCACCCCATCAGGACCCTCTATGCCATGGGGACCCATCCATGCTATGGGGCACCCAACTACATCAAAGAGACCCATCCATGCCATTGGGCAACCTCCACCCCATCAGGATCCTCCACCCCATGAGGAGCCTCTATGCCATGGGGCACCCAACCACATCAAAGGGACCCATCCATGCCATTGGGCAACCTCCACCCCATCAGGACCCTCCACCCCATGAGGACCCTCTATGCCATGAGCACCCATCCATGCCATAGGGGACCCTCCACCCCAGAGGGCTGCCTCCACGTCATGATGTGTGACTGGGATGTTGACGCCGCCCCACGGAGGAGTGACCCCCAACAAACTCACGCCTGCTTCTCCAGGGGCAGCGAGGTGTCCACGTGCCGGGGGCTGGGGGGACAGCTCGGTCGGGTGCCTGTGGGGGTCCGGGGGGGCCGCGGCAGCTGCCGGGAGAGGCTGGGGGAGCGCTCGGGGCTCTCAAACTGCACTGCGGGGGCAAAGGGGGATGTGTCACCCCACCGTGGCGGGGTCCCAGCACCCCTGCCTGCTGCTGGGGGGCACCTGGTGGCCGGGCCACCAGTTCTTAGTGCTGGACCATGAAGGAACATCCCAGATGTCCCCAGCACAGCTTTGCCTTGCCATGGTGTCCCATTGCATCTCTGGGGTGGTACCCATGGGTGCTGGGGGTTCAGGGGTGGTACCTGGGGGTGGTACCCATAGGTGCTTGGGGATGCTGGGGCTGGAGTCCGCGGGGTGGCACCCATGGGTGCTGGGGGACATGGGGCTGGAGAAACCAGGGTGGTACTCATAGGGTCTGGGGGATGGGGGGCTGGGGGACCCCAGGGTGGCACCCATGGGTGCTGAGGGACATGGGGCTGGAGATACCAGGGTGGTACCTATGCTGGGGGACGTGGGGCTGGACTCCCTGGGGTGGCACCCATGGGTGCTGAGGGACATGGGGCTGGAGAAACCAGGGTGGTACCCGTGGGTGCTGGGAGATGTGGGCCTGGGGGACCCCAGGGTGGTACCCATGGGTGCTGGGGGATGTGGGGCTGGAGTCCCTGGGGTGGCACCCATGGGGGCTGGGGGATGCGGGGCTTGGGAACCCAGGGTGATACCCAAGGGGGCTGGGGGGCTGGGGGACCCCAGGGTGGTACCCATGGGGTCTGGGGGATGTGGGGCTGGGGGACCTCGTGGTGGCACCCAGCGCCCCGTGATGCTGTCACCTGCGAACGCCCGCGAGATGTGATCCTTCTTCCACTCCCAGGGCTGGTCGTACTCGTCGGCCGGGCGCTCGTCGTCGCGGGGCAGGCGGCTTTCCCGGGTGGGGGGCACCCCTGGGCCCTCCCCAGCTGTCTCCCACTCCTCGTAGGGGGTGTCGTAGAGTTGGGGTCCCCTCCGTGGCTTTGCCCGCCGTCCCTCGCCCTGCCGCGGGCACCCTGGGGACAGGCAGGGCTGGGAGAGGCAGCGGGGGCCAGGAGGGGTGGGAGGACCCGGGACCCCCACGGGTGCTGGGGGG